CGTGCACGTGCTTTTGAGCACGACCTCATTAAGTTGGGAAATAAGCCGTTTTCAAAATGTACAGCTGTGACTACCTTTGAGACTGCTGGTTACTCAAGTCTTCATACGTTTACTAATTTCGCCAGCAGGCTATACGATGTGATTCATCTATCTTCACTACTTTATAAGAGCCAGATTCCTTGACATGGACATGAGGCGAAATGCAGTGTGACTTTAGAAAAGTGTATCATTTACACTGGAACCCATAAGAACCTGTGAAGACATCAGTCTTGGCTCGGAGTATATTCAGAGCGCTTGACTCATTCAACCTAAAAGTCTCTACTGATGAGCGTTCTTCTTCCAAAAGACATGATCCCCTGCAAAATGAATGCAATAAATGAAGATTCTGTACATTTCTTTCAAAAATTCTAATTCATTCCATGCAAAAATCGCAAGTTGATTAAACTTCAACTATGAAGTGAATGCTATGTCGAGCATGACTAACCCGCGTGGCAGGAGATGTTAGACAAGGTTCGGCAAGTTAAAAAATTAGCTAGAGACTGTATTCCAGAATAGTTGGTATTAAAACCCTAATGTTATAATGTTTCCATGTAAGCTCCAACTTAAAGATCTAAGTCGATTCCTCATGAGCCTCGACGCTTGCGCGAAGGCATTTAGTACTCAATCAGCCCCACCTAGTGGGGTCGGGGAGAGTGTTAAAACCCCTATTACGACCGGTCCCATATGACAGGCGGATGGGCTTGTCTACCACAGGTGCGGCTACGAAATAGGATCCGACACATGCAGTAGAGTGAGAGGAAGGAGGGGGGGGGAGTGCGATAAGTGGTTTAGTACCGTTCTAAGTAGTCGTAGATGGCATGATGGCCGAAAAGTTTTGCTTCAGACTGCGGACTGTGACCCCAGCGGTCCTTCGGCTCCGGGTTGACGTGCGCCACCTCCAAAAAGAAACGAACACTCTCAAAGGCTCCCACACTGGCTGCAACGTGGAGGCCCGTGCGACCATCGTAGTCGGCCATATTCAGGTCGTAACCAGCCAGCATACACCTGGACAAACAGAAGTTAAGGACATTCAATGAGATCTCAGTGAGGATCTCAGGATCAAAAGGGGCAGATGAATTCAGCTGAGAACTCATTGAGCGTCTAAGTACGCGGGACAAATTAAGAGGTGGAAAACTTTCTAATGGGACTTGCAATATGGAATCTAATAATGTAATGAAGACTTGTAAGGGGCTAGCTGGTCAGCCTCTAGCCCCAACCACTAGAGTTGTCCATGACTTGCTTTAGGACAATACGGGCGGGGTCACCAGGTCTCTTGTGCCTAAAAGGTTGGTCTACACAGAGCTGGAAAACACGTCATCTGCAGATCGACTACCGGAGACTTGATGCAAAACTGCGAGGTGGAAGTTTCAACTCCATCGGGGTGTGAGAGTTCTGTGCCTGCCATGACCTCTCACTGCAGATGATCTGATTATTTGGACTGTAGCAGCCGCTCCAGACCAGTTGTTCTCCGTCACCGTTTTGTCGAACAATAACCGCGACAGCTGTTGACACACGGCCACCCCCGCCGGCTAACACTCAGACACCCCCGGTCCAACTTCAGTGACAGTCGGCTGACCTCACAAACTTTCATCACCTCATGCGCGTCTGACGCCCTGGCTTGATACCCGTGAGGCATTATGAGTACGCGCCCCCCTATTCCTCCCATAATTTGTCCAATCACACGACCAACACTCAGCCAGTCACCCCCCTCCTGATGACCCAGACACTCATTCCCGCGTAAACAACACACCGCGACTGACGCTCACAGTGAACGGACGCTTATTTCTGTTGCAAGCAAACAGCCAACTTACGGCAACCTGCACTGTGTACGGAATAAACTGGTCCTCATAGCTCCCAGACTTCTGACGTTAGACGAAACGAACTTATTGTGCGTGGTTTAAGTTGATCTCACATCCTTGACCGTCACAGAATTACGGACTATGTCCCTTGTGTGATAAAAATGCAGAATTTAAGCGGACACAACGAAATTTCAAAGGGGAAGGGGTTGTCTGGGCACCTTCGGAGTGCGTTGACATCGTTGTTGTTAGCGGCGAAGAGGAGATTGACCACGGCGTGAGTTCTGTCCTCGAGATTCTGTTTGCGGGGGTCCACCTTGCTCCTGTGATGCAGCTGACTTTCATAATTGTGAAAGACGTAATTTTGAACTAAGTTCTAGGGAAAAGAAAGAAAGCTCATAAACGGAAATGTCAGCGTAATTAAAGATCCAGAGGATCCTGTCTGTGCCATCAGACAGAATTCTGTGTAGGATTTCAGAAATAAGACAGAATACTATTAGGACTACTCTCGCCAGTGTAAATGTACACATTGACTCCTGCCAACACTGCAGGCATATATCCCGGAGGAGCATTCTCTTCCACGCAAAAAGACAAACGAATTGTGTCAGTTTATTCAAAGCAAACAAACCTGCGTGACTCCGTATCAGCTTTAGAGAAGTTAGGAAAGATCATTATAAGTGGTTTCGTTTAGTTCATGATGTCGTCCCCTTTCGTGGTTAGAACCTACAAGAGGTTGACAACCAGGGTCTTTGCTAGGTCAACCACGTACGGGAATCGGCAGTTTTGTGGGTAAACGACGGACGTATCTATACAGAAGCTAGGCGGTCGTCCTTTCACTACTTTCTTACTTTTATACTTCGTGAACTGTGCTGAACCAGCAAGATGCATCTCTCCGTTTCTTGCCGGTTGGAGGTTCGCTAGACCAAGCTCTAAATGCCATTTGATAAATTTTGTGTACAAAAGTCAGGTTCCCAGTTTTGGTTGTCCGGATGGTAAGGCATGGAGAAAGGATAAGCTAGCAACTATGTGTATCACATGCTGACAGACTTATTAACACATGCAGGACAGTCTGAATACCACAATGAAAAGTGCATGCAAGGGAGTGATTACTATTTTAACAAAGATATCCATAAAACCGGTATATCGATCTCGTCTAGAACTTGATGCCATGCAAACGTGTCTCCTGATTTGCAAAACCGGCTGCTGATTGGTTAAAATGTTCAATGGCTGTGGTTCCTGCCATTGTATTTTGCCCCCTGACGATAAACTTAGGAGTGCCCAGAAGTATAATATTTGTCCCAGAGTATTTTGTTATCAATGAAGTCGAAAGCAGTATTAATTATAGGTGATTAGGTTGCTGTTGACAGCTAGCCTTATCGGACCCTGTGTGGAAGGTTAGAAACCTGGAATGGACTGCAGAACTTGAATCAATAGTTCTAATAACTAGGATACTCGGAGGTGTGTTGCAATCAAAATGCCGGTAGAGCATGGGAATATGGGCCCCCGGAGGCCAGGTGGCCTCGAGCTGAATCCGAAGGGGGGAGGTTGGGGTCAGAGGTAATGTTGGGATACGGGAATGGGTGTCCCCTGGAATTTGTTGTAGGGGGGTCCATATTCCCTCGTCCAACCGGAATACATTCTTACAGGATGAGTTTAGTAGCCTAGTGTTGGCTCAGTGCGGATGATTTCATGACAACAAAAAAGCAGCCGTGGAACATGCGGATTGACCTAACATGGTTTTTACTGTTAGAGGGCTCTGGATAGACGGACCTCTATGCGTTCTAGGTCACAGACACTTTAAACTTAGTTCTCCTGGATAAAATGTTGGCTGTGCTCAAGCCTTAGCCTTGCTGTTGTGCATGCGAATCCCAACGAGGTCACCGAATTTTTCACAGTTAAGTCAAAGTAAATTATTCAAAATCGGTCAAACCACCTACTAATTACGTGGTCCTAGTAGTCATTTGATCGATTCTAAATGGATGTCCTAGGAAATCGTGCTTTAGCAGTCAGCTTACTGCATTATATTTGGCGGATTCCCGACATTGCAGTAGACTGGACGAGTAACTTGACCCAAATGGAATTAAACTCACGACCCCCGGTGGGGTCTCATAGCTCAGGTGGCTGGAGCGTTAGATGTACTCAAGCCTTTCCCCTTACTGTGGTGGTTTCGACTCCCACTGAGGTCACCGGGTTTTTCGCAGTTGGGTCAAAATACATTATTAAAGGTGGTCTTCTGGAGATGAAACGCGTGAAGTACATGACGTGTCCTGGGCTAGAGTAGTTCACTGGAAAAGTTGACAAGTCTGGTGCTTCTGCAGGATGCAAGTAGCAAAATGTGGCAATGCCAAAATATGCCCATTCCTATCAAATTCAGGCAACATGCAGTGACTACCTCACAGAATTGAATTCCTCGCACTGAGTTGCCCTGGTGATTTATCCTCGGCGACCACAGCGCAATGCCCATGAGGTTGGGAATGACGAGTACAATCAGGCCGGAGACGCCTGACTTTGCAGGGAGACCAACCTAAAAAACAAAAGAATGCCGGTGAACGCAGTTGATGAAGTTTGTATCTGCCCCCCCAATCATGACTGCCAAGGCTACAATGCAACATTTTCTGGCCTGTTGGAAATTCCGTACTTTAAAAAGACGACATTAGGCATAACGCGCACTGAAAAATCGAAAGCAAAACACATAAAATTCCTCACGGGGATATTTAAAGATATTTTTTTTAGCCAGAAAAGGCAATATTGATTAGTCAGGAATGTAATTTTAAATGAAGTCAACTGTAACTGAATGTTCCCGATCAGCACTGAGAGAACAAAAGTGCAGTGGTAAGAACCTTCTCAATGACCAACTGACTCGGGCACATCATTTTACTATGGTTGGGAGTAACTGGCTGATGGGGCCAGATAAGCCAGAGACGTCCATTCCCCTGTCAAAGTCTTTGTCGGAAATTCTGCTCAATCATATTTAGCATACAGATCTTACGCAAGTTTACTCTCTCGTACTCAGCAAAAATCACATCCCCACTTGATCAAAACCAACGAATGTTTCGCTCCTGCAAGGTTGCAGGTGTATCAGAGCAACTAGTGCCGAACTTGGCGAAAGGCACGAGGTCATTTCAGATTTCTTTTCCTGTTCTAGGGAGGGACCTCATGACAGCCGTAAAATAGCAGGACGTATTTTAATATAAGTTGAGGTAAAGCAGCGAAAGTTGAAAAACCGTCAATGAATAGTAGTTATGGGAGCGAGAAAGGGTCAAAGGGGTTCAGACGTGTCGGATATCAGGGGCAATTATGGTCTAGTTCTCTCGGGGGCATGGAAAGTGGGGTGGGATTTTTGCAAGCACAAGGTTGGGTTGGTTGATTGTATGACAACAGCCGCCGCCGTTGCAGACATCCGCTAGCGCACGAGTTTGGGGTGCCTCGTCCGCACTTCATAAATGACCCGAAATGCTTCACTAACTTCTGCTCGATCGCCGCTCTCAAGCGAGTAACAATTGCGCGAGCAAGAAACTTTTCCATGCTTTGATTTAGTGCTCTTGCATTCGCTTGGATAGGGGTCAAACCGTTTGGCCAATATAACCTGCATCATAGGACCAAGTGAAAGCGTAGATGCACATCGAAGAAGTCCTAAAGGTCAGTCTACCCTAGATTGTTATTAAGTTTTCCAAAATAAACGGCATGCGCTTCCTCCGAAGGTCATTTAACATTTCTATTCCTGTTCTGGTGAGTGGACATCCGTACAGCCATAAAGTACCAAAATGTGTTTGGATAAAGATGTTTGATTCGCAAGTACCATTAAAAACCAACTGATGTTAGACTGCAGGTGTAGTTGTGCGACTAATGCCCCAAAGTCTCAAATTTAAACTACTATAAAATCGATCAAATTCGCCTCATTCACAGCCAATGACTGAGGGGTAACAAAAGTAGGGTTGTAATATTGATCACTATCTGGCATTATCTAAAGATATTTTAGTCAGGACAGGATATCGACTTTTGAGTGCACTTCTTTTTGGCCGCTTGCTAATGTCGCACCCGATAAAGATGACCACTTGGGTAGAATGAGCTTTTCCGTTTATTTTCAATACCCTTATAAATTAAAATATACTTTAAAGAACACATCGCACGCGCGTACGGTCTTCCAAAGGTGCACAAGGCAGATGCGCCGTCGAGGATCATAGTGCCCCTTATTGGATCACCTACTTACAACCTTGTCAAATAATTATATAGGCACTTAAGGCACCTCGCTAAAGGAACGCAATACAGCATTAAAAACTCTCAGGCTTTCCTGCCGAAGATCCAAGGCCTTGAAGTAAGTCATGACGAATGCATTCTATCGTTCGATGTTGTTGCCCTGCTTCCTTCAATGCCACATGACTTGACAATTAAGAGCGTAGCTCGATACCTAGGGAAAAATCCCGTTGGCGTGCTAACGCAGCTAGGAATGCTTAAGCCTTATCTCAAGAATTATTGTCAGTTCGATGACAGGTACTACCAACAAGTTAAGGGAACCACAATGGGCTCATCAGTATAGGGGCTGCTTGCAGAACTAGTCTTACAACGACTAGAACAGGATGCCATGCAAACCGAAGCAAAAAATACGGCTCAGCTACGTAGATGACACATTCGTCATCATAAGGATAAGTGAAGTTGAGCGATTGGACCAGAACGTAAATAACATCTTCCCGGCTATTCAGCTTACTCACGAAGAAGCATCGGGAGATACCCTCCCGTTTTAAGATGTGAGTATACACTGACTTAGTGATGACAAACTAGCAGCAAGCACCCCCCGGAAAGACTAATGCCAAAATCATCCTGCGGCCCATAAAAGAAGCTGTGTCCGCATTCTCTTCCATCGGGTCTTCTTTATCTGCAACAGTGACGACTTACTTAAGAAAGAGCTGCGCTACTTAGACCGGTTATTCCGGTTCAACGGACAGCCGGACGGCCTTGTAAAAAACTGTCTCAGACGCCAAAGACAACCACCAAACCTCGATCCTAATGGAGATAAAGTACCACGGAAGTCATTTTCATTGCCGTTCATTGAGGGAAATTCTGAAACGACCTCCCGACAATTAAAACGCTTTGGCATCTGCATCGTCCACAAGCTCGCATCTTCGCTACGCGAAATAATATGCCGAGTAAAGGACCTGGTGTCCAAAGAACAACTAACTAATGTCATCTATCGCATCCTATGAGCAAACTGCCCTTGTGTTTATATTGGTCATACAGGCCGATGTCTTGAGACTCGCATAAGCCCTCCACCGACGTGACTCTCTGCCCCTCGTGTTTGCGCACGTCCTTGAGTATGACCACAGCTTCAATTGGGACGGCGATCGCCTTATGGCAGATAGACCTGTACCATTATGGAATGGAAGTGAAGGTTGTCTGTTATTTTCGGGACGTTAGTGATTGAGATTCCTTTTCTTGCTTCCTTTTCGGTGTTCTCTGGAGGCATCTTGGGCGAGACTAACCTACTTTTCTCGTCTGACCTCCGCACACTGTAATCGTCTTCGCGCCGTAGGGCGGCTTACTCAAAACGACAGCTCTGTACATCCGTGGCTTCGTGCTGACGAGAATGCTACAGCCTGAGGGAGAACTGACTAGCTTTGGGGACCCGACCTGCAAGTCCGTCATGAAGCTGCATATGCCCTGTGAAGGAAAGCCCAGGCTACGCGAATTTGTCCACAGCTCTAAGATGGATCCGACTGAATCATACTATGGATGCGTCCTAGTCCTCCGTTTACGTCGGGTCTCACATAACTGCCGTCTTTCTGAATTTTCAACCCGATTCGTTGAATTTGTGGTGTTCATCGTGAGGACATCAAAATATATATATTTAAAGTGCATACTGCTTAAGGAGGCATTTCCTATCGAGTGCGGGTTTTGCGGGTGGCCGAAAATAAGTCCATTCAATGGCCGGTATCCTGACCTTACTGGAATATCCTGATATTATGTTGCAAGATAATCAATATTACAAACACACTTAGGCAATCCTTCCTAGTTGGGGACGTATTTAGGAACTGTGATTAAAATTTCATGAGATTAATCGCTGACTGTAAGTTATAGGTTGGAAATAAAATTGGCTCCAACAAGGAAACAAGAAAGACAATGAAGAAGATGCCCATTGTATCGGAAAATCATAGAATAGGGATCATAATCGAAAGAGTTCTTCTAAGTTTGATTAACAGGGCCGGCGGAAAGATTTTTGTTTGCGACCGAAAGGACCATTGGGCGTAAACAAACACCATATCATTCGTCTAGCTAAACGGCATTGCAGTCCAAATTGGGCAGTATTTTATAGTTGAAGACATATTTGCATAAAAGGATGATCGATTACTAGCATGGTTTTCCTTTGGGTTTGAACGTCAGAACGACACATGCGGCCCCGATGAAACCAGTGATACAGTGATCCCTCTTCGATAGCGGGGTTGTATTCCAGAACGCCCTGTGAAAAGTGAAAATCCACGAAGTAAAGGCCGTGCGTTTTCATGTTTACTTTTATGTATTTTAAGTCCTCATAATCCACCCCGGTTTCTTACAAACACCTTCCGCACACTTATACAGAACAAGCCCTTTGAATTCTATTAGTTAAAAGCGTCCCATGTAAGAGATCCACTGGGATAACCAACTTAGATGGCATGTATTAGAAATAAAAAAGGCGAATTATCCTCAGAAGTCCACGAACCAGCGAAAAATTCGCCATATATATTCATATTTGCTTGCATATAAAATTCGTGATAGAGTGAAGCTGCGAAACTCGAAGCGCGATATAACTAGGCATTACGGTATTTCGCAAAACATCCCACAACAAATAGGCCCAATGCTGGTTGGGATCATTCTTTAGTATGAAATTAATATAGCCAGAACAATGTCGCCCTGTAACAGACAATAACATGCTCTTACCATGTGGCTTCTCTCTTTTGCATCGAGGCCTTTCTCTTAAATCGAGCAAAAAACTTGTCCAAAGTTATGCGCCATAAAATGACGAAATGCTTGTTATTTGACATATGTGTGCCTTAGCTTCTGAACTTGTTCGGATTACCGCGTAGGCGAGTTGCGCACGCAAACACAATAAAGTAGTCCGATCTCAGCAAATAACCCTGACCACCTGAGAAGGCTGCCGTTTATTTGCCTGCAAAATAAGAGGTACAAATCAAGCCTTTCAACCTATCCTGGTACGAGAAATCCTTAAGACCACACACCACTTTCGCTACCTAACGTTACATCGGTTTGGAGGTCATTGTCCACGGTGTCCAGACTGGAATTCAGTAATCCAGCCGGGATCTCACGAAGAGGACGGAAGATTTTTCTGAAGAGTGCAGGGGGAGACATTTTGAACGTATGTCTAATCCAGTGCAACCTACCAGCTACCCTCTTGACCACCTTCTTACGGTATTTTGACAGAATAAGATTTGCGGCCGTCAGTATGTGCAGACTTTCGTGCTTTTCCACATCTTTCAATGCGGTACTGTCAATAAAATAATAGTGTTTTGGAGGTATTTTTCGAAAGGCGTTCAGATGCAGGATCACGCATTTGGATTCAGTAAGCCTTAGAAGCCACCTGTTCGACCAAACATACAGTTTGCCAATGTTTAACTGCAACTTTTGTGCCGTCAGCACAGTCAGCTTCAGACCTTATTTTTATATCGTCCACGAACTTTACAGCTTCCTAATTTTATTCCCTGATCAAATAGATCAGGAAGAGTTGGGGACCCAAACCAGAATCCTGCAGGACAACACTTTCATCCTCTACCCCTTCCGAGGTAAAAGTGTCAAAAACCACGTTCAGCACTTCAAAGCACAAAAAATTCTGGTTTATTTGAACCTCCTGCCTCGAATTCCTGTTTCTCAAATCTTTTGTGGACTCCACCGTCCCAGATAGACCGCCATGAGAAGACGAAATGCTCGCCACTTGACGTATACGACCGCTCATCATTGGAGACGACAGCCTTGGTGGCCGTGAGAAGTCAGAGGCTATGGTCGCAATTTCGGTTATGCACTATGGCATACTGGCCTCCGGTCGAGCACCTGAAAGGATAGTAACATCCATATCAGATTGCGAAGTGATATAGTCCCCAAATTTGATGAGAACCAAATCAAACGACGGACGGTTCTCCTGCCATATGCACACTCCTGTGCAGTCATCTTAGGATTTTCACAGTCTCTGACCGATTCACTTAACAAATCCCGCTTGTCGCTTTCTTTTTCTTGAGAGTTCAGACGAAGGGATTGAGCCGTGACACCAATGCGTCGTTGGACGCAATGAATATGGGCGAAAGTGGGATCATCGCTCTAGGGTGTTTGAGGCCATAGAGGTTACAAAAGGGGACTACTGGTGAGTGAAGGGGGCGGGGGTGGGGGTGGGCAGAGCGGGACGGCAGGCCTTCGAGAGGGGAGGAGAGTGCAGTTACTTCTCCCTGCGCTAGAGCAGCATGGAGGATAGCGGATCCGTGAGACCGCGGGAGGCTGGACTAGTGCTCGTTGATTTGGAGTGGTAACAGGTATCAGTGAGCTGTGTTCACAGACCCTCGTGGTCAGTGTTTGCGTCTGATGACGGGTTGGTCATCAGCTTGAAAATTCCCGGGGCGAACTTGATGTTTTCATCATATCGACTTGGAATCACATTACATCTGTTAAACCTATAAACCAGTGTTTAACCGGTTCTGGTTTTCCATATTTCGACGGGAACGCAAAGTTCAAGTATTTTTCTTTCGCTCTTAAAAAATCATTCTGAGTCTTCTCCCCCTTCATGGTTAATGCTTCCCATAATCGAGAATCAACTTGCGACTGAAATGCTAATAAAGTGTATAAAGAAAAGGTTCCCTTTTAACATTACTCACTCTGAATGCGAACTGTCCCGAATAGTCGTACATGCCGCAGGAATGCATGACGGAGAGCGTATCACGAACAGCCTCCGTTGAGAGGATTCGTTCTCCAGTGAGTGGGTTGATGCCGCCGTTGGCCAGAGTGCCGTAGATCACAGCGGCGGCTTCGCAGGTAGACTCCAGCGAACACATCTGGAAGTAGAGATCCATGGTAGCGTCGAGCTCTGAGTTCTCGGGGAAACATCCATTCTCCCGCATATAATAGGCGATGGCATAGTTCCTGTCCGCAGTCGCTCGCTCTGATAGATACCTGCGAAGGATAAAGTCGGCAGTATTTAACCACTTGGCTCTGTAGTATCATAACTGATCGAGCTGGCAAACATCACAGTTAGCATAATTACTGTCACTGCCGACCAACTTAACAGAATGCGAAAATCACAGCCTCAGTGGGAAAACCGATGCCTAGTTGGGTATGACAGGCTGACGACGGCTAATAAGCCAGAAATGGCCATTCCAGTCTCCCTTGTCTTTGTCGGTACAGCCATTCTGCCTAAATCATGCGCCGCTGTGCGGCTGCTGGTTGGGCTCGAGAGAGCCCGTAAGGTACAACGGAACGGGTAAGTTCCGTAAGAACAATCGGTGAGCGTCCCTTACCATTGTAGAGCAGCTTATTCACGCAAATTTTGTGCGCTCAAGGGAGGATTGAGTTGCCTGATTACTGTCGTTCCCAACACTGCCTGTACGTACCCTGAAAATGACCCTCACTGGTTCGTCGGACTACTCGAAAGACCCGCCTTGTGCGCGCAGTTCTCGAGCAGCGCTAAGGTGTGCAAAGAGGGAGGTATGCAGCAGACACACAAAGCCTCATGAATGATCTGTCGGGTGCGAAAGCTCATAGAGACAGCACTGACGCAGTAGTACGGAGACAGCGGCAATCCCAAACTGTGTCCGCGAAGAAACCGTTAACTTACCGTGAAACTGTCATGGCGCCGAGGCCCGCGGGTCGGCTGCTAAAAATAGTAGCTCGGTCGAATAGTGTCTACCGCCGCCCCAGCTTTCTGCTCCAGGCCACACTGGACGCAAAAATGGATCTGTTAGGGCAAGCTGGGCACACCGTGCCCCAGCTTTGTTGCCTGGCATTAATGCACAGCAGGGAGCCACCATGCAGCAGGTCAGGCTCGTCCACCAAGTCCGCGAGTGAGTCAGCAGTTAGCGCGTCGCCGGGTCATGCGCCTTCTTCTGGCGCCCTCAACTCGTGAGGCCTCTGTCTACGTTGGCGCTCAGACCCTAACCAGCGGAAGCACGCGAATCAAACAAAGTCATGGTGCCTTAGGGGGATGCCTTGGACAGACGGAAGGAGGAGATGGTATATGCGCAATGATTGCCGCAGTAAACTTGTTCTCGGCCGTCCCTGTCTATCTTCTGTTCTGTGCAACAATTTGCAGAGTATCACTGGGGAAGCTGACAACTGACTGAGTAATCTGCGTACATTTATGGACAAAGTAGAAGACTGCAACATTTTGGCATAAACTTGTCTTCCAGAAGGAAACCCCGGTAAGGATCAAGTATATGCGCGGGGCAAGGGAAAGCTATGGTGGACTGCCTACCATATTTTTCAAAGATGCTGCTCTTCACTGTTTTTGGTTGGCCTTTCATTGGCAGGGCGACATTCGCCGACCTGAATTGCCCCGAGGAGACGGGACAGTTACAATGTCTGCATTGGCTCATTGTTCTCCACGCCCCACACGCAATTATTTAGTAGAATTACAGCTCATTTTTAAAAAAAACTTTCGGCACGGGGGGCAGTCAGGTAGTAAAAATATACTCGAGATGATGGCAGATGGAATGCAAATATCTGCCAGTAGAGCAGGAGTATTAACACGCTAGCGAATTTCTTAAACAACAGGTGGAGCTTTCTTGCCCCGCACATGTACTTGGTCATTGTCGAAAAGTCCTTGGTGGAGCTCTCATATGATGGCAGCAGGACACCGTGTCCTGCGTAATGTACAAGAATCGTGTGCCAGTGTATCTGGCTCCTCGTCACCCCGGGGTGATTCCATCCGAAAAATTTTAGCCTAAATACGCAGCGCCAGTGCCTAAACCTCTGGGTGGCGCTAAAAACCTCAAGAAACATGAAAAAAGAATGCCGTAGAGGTCAACTTTCAGACGAAAGGACCGCGAAAAAAAGTAGGCAGGGTTGGCTATTCAGTCGTCAGGAGTCTGTCAACCTAGATACACAGAAGAAACTACGAAAGAAAAGTTTGGTTTATAAGTATGATTTCTGTAGAAAACCACCAGCCGACGACAAGGTTGTGGCCGTTGCATCATGCGGGAACAAGTTTTGTCGGTGAGTGTCCACTGATCCGCGGAATTCATCTTCGAGTAGTGGATTCATTGTGGAAGTTTGTTGGCTTAATGTCCACCAGATGAGTGCTAGGCCCTATTTTACACACAGAATCCCTGCCAAACAATTAGCCCTTGAGACAAAAACCAGCCAACCAGAAAATGGTCCTATAGAAGGTTGCAAATCACTCAGCTGGATATGGAATTTTGTGAGACAGGCCTCAGCCCTCCTAAGGCGGAAGGCGAGAAATGGAAGAGAGTAGACAAAAGGTTGCCAGATATACTTACACAGCATTGTTGAATCCGAGTGGCTCGCGACCAGCCAGTTCAGAGAACTTGTCGTGTACGTAGACAAATCGTTCTGGTCGACTGAGGTTCCGTTGCAGCAGACTGGCCACCGCGATGGCCCCCGAGTTGATGAGCGGATTGTGGGGTCGATCTGGTCAAAGCAAAGGAGCTAAATGCCGTATAACATACAAAGGACTTGAAGGGGCGGAGAGTGAACCTGGGGGGCGTAACTGTCTGTGACGCAAATGACCAACTGCCAGGCGGCACGACGAACCTGCGTCATCTGGCGACGAGGGTGTTCAAAAGGAAATGCGATTGGCACTCATCAGTTAATCATGATTATGAGAGAGAATATAGGCGTTTAGTTTTTGTCTGATCTCCTAGTTGAGAGCACTCCAAGGTATTTGCCGAGCAATAGGTAATCAGCAAGCATTACCAAGACGGGCAAAAGCAATTAAAATAACAATTTCTGGCCTATGTGGCGGCCACACCCCACACCCCCCACACACACACACACACACTCAAGACCAGGAAAACCTAGAGTCTAGACCGGGATTAACTGCGTTATAGAACTTACTGCTCCGTCAACCACTATGGGGAATCGCGTTCAGCAGGTTGACGGAATGGCAGGGCGGACTGCGTCAGTTGCATTCTGATTTGAGCCTCAGGATGAAGACATAAATAAACTGAAAATGACGACGACAGTCATTGTCGACAGTGTCTATCAATTACCGCTTGTCCCTCGTTATAGGACTACAGGCGATACCTCTTGATCGACAAGGCAAAACGGATTATACTTAATTCAGTAAACTTTCTAATGGTCACTGTCAGTTTTCAGAAGTGTTCAAGACTGCCACGAGTCCTGCCGATTCCATATACTGATAGCATATACACTTGTGGTTGTGTAAGGGGAAATTACGTCGGCAGGATGATGGATGGGCTTACTTTTGCAGTTTAGAGAGATCTGATTGAAGGGCACGCCTGATGGTTCGTAGCCGACGTATTTATGAACCTCCTCTGATCCGAGTTCAGTCAGCGCGAGCGCATAACTCAGAGGCTTACTTGCTGACTGAAGGGTGAAGGGTGATGTGCTGTCACCATAGGAGACCCTAAAAGACAGAAATGTGAGCATGCCTACAATTGCGAGAACCAAAGGTGCACATGAACGAGTCATCATGAAGAAAGAAGGATTGCTGCTTCTGCAGAAACGCCATCAAATGAAGCATTCCTCTGCCCGGTTAGCATCCGAACACCTACGACTCCAAACCGTCAGACATCCAGCGTCCAGACAGAAAAGATGCACTACCGATGTAATCCTGAAAGTTACTTTTTAATTGCGGGACCGTTGTCTTGGTCAGTATGTGCGAGTGCTCAAGGGACAATATGCATGTCCTCAAAAATTAGATGAGGCTCTGGTGATCGGCTTAGAACGCAGTCTACCCGTCTGACGGGGGTTGTCCGGGTAAGGGTTGAGTAGTAGCAGGCAGCTTAACATGGTATTAAAGTTTAGCAAGTAGCAAGATTTTTTAAAATTTAGGCCATACAAACGAGAAATCAACGCGCTGTCCGCAGCCTGACGACAGGGCACTCGGCTGGAATTTGAAGGCTCGGCGGTCTGGTTTCGTCATATAACACGCATTTTTCCCAATTAGAAACTTTCCTCTTACTCGTGGTCTCTATTAATAACGAATTGTTGGTTATTAAAGTTGGGGTTGGTCGTGTAGGGAGGGGGGAACGACGGTCATAAATTTCCTGATAAGAGCTGCATACGTTCTCATCTACAGTTACCTAATTTTGGCCAGGGACACAATATGATCGTTAACGGGGAGCTTTACTGTTGAAAGTTAGGCCCGCCCCAACCGGCCAGCAGCTTAACTAGCAAGCTTCTGTTGGTGGTTATCGGGGGTGGGGGGGGGGATAACTGCAATCGTTTGAAGTGTATTTCATTTTTAGAGATGATTGAAGAGGCCATCTGGAGTGCGTAAACCTAATGCCTCTTATCGTAGCCCCGGCAGTTCTAACTCAGTTATGATATAGGGGCAAGAGAGAGAGAGAGAGAGAGAGAGAGAGAGAGAGGAGAGCGGGACGGATGTTGGGGATATTATCATTTTTATATTCTGATGAGTCAGCTTCTTTAAGTAAGCCAGTTCCTGTGGAGTACAGTGAACGGACTACCGGTTAGAAGAAACTCCAGCGGAGCAGTATTTCGACACCACAGCAATGCTCCCTGGCAAAGCTTACTTTTACTAGACAATCTCTTTCTTCTAGCTGAGGGCTAACATAAAGCTCTGTCAGTTAAAGAGCCCTGGACGGTCAATCTACAGGTTATATTTTTCGCATTTAATTGACATAATGCATGGGTGAGAATGCATATTTGTTGCCAGTCGAGGGTAAGGACAGCAGTCAGCTATGAATTTTGAATCTTCCGGATCGCGTGACCGAATAATTATATTCGTCACGCAAGGGAAGCCGCACAGTGCCGCGAAGGCCCAGTGTTCAGCACTGTTGGCAGTATTTATTAACGCGTGCAGTCGGGCTAAGTTATTGACTTGCTACGTAAGCTGTTGTAAAACTGTTTGTGTCTCCAAAGGACACGGTCTTAAGAAAAAAAGACATGCCGCGAAATGACAGGCGACATGCCACAAATGGAGGTTTCAGAGTGCCTTCTGCGTCCTTATCGCAGCCGTTGACAGCCAGCCAATGCTAAAGTTACGGATAGGCTAACCTAACGACAAGAACGAATATAAGAAAGTACAAGGGGGATTAAGGTGGTCATTTCTGGTTTATTAACCGTCATTATCCACCTATGTCCAACCCCGGGTTTGGGCTATCCGGGATTACAACCCACATTAATCAGCCAATGAGTCACGCGTCGGTTAGCCTGCTTGTTGCAATGGGGACTTTTCACTCAGAACAAAATAAACCGCTATATTCCGGACATGCAGTTACAGCAGTCAGGAAATTGGTCAGTCTTTCTTTCGCGCGTACTTTGTTTATGTGAGACAGCGGGTGAATTACGGGCAACAGATACTGCCGATGCAGTTATTTCGCATGTAATATGATCGTAAATGTCACCAACATGACTGCACATGGCACCTCATGCCCTGTTAAACAAACATAACTGAAGTCAGAGTAAACACGGACATTAAGCGGACACCCCCTTCGAAAAAGTGATCCAGCGACTAAGCGTAAAACTTGAAGGACAATACGAGTGTAAAAAGTTGTGATCGCATTTTAATTTAAGCGGAGACTGGGCATACATAAAATGTCCCTGCTCCTGTTCGGAGAGGAACTAGTAGTCTGATTGCCAGAGGTGTCCTATCGCATGGACTGAGATTCCACTTGGCGCTGACTCGCTGTGCCCACAACTGCTAAGCTTGCTATTTAACCTACTTTCCCGCGCTTCAACAGATCTTGAAGTAGGTGAAGACAGATCCCGCTGATTGCATAAACCCAACATCCGATTTTCCAGCGTTTAAAAGTACATGATTTGGAGGGGAGACTTGCCTTTGTCCGTCCACGGTGCATATGGAGACAGCCCAGAGATTTGGATCGACCTTGGCTAGCTGCGGAATGTAATTGGCCACTTGACCCTGGCTGCAGCTGGAGCACTGTTCATACAGCTGTTTAATGCGTTCCTTGAAGGCGGGGAAATCGGGGATGCAGAAATCGTTGACGGCAACTCGCAGGAGCATACTCAGGTCACCCTGTGTGACTCTAAAACGGACAAAGAGGCTTTTCAGAGGACAAAGTTATTTCAATTTCAACATACTAGGTCGGCGCAAGTCCCCGTACAAACGGACAAAGAGGCTTTTCAGAGGACAAAGTTATTTCAATTTCAACATACTAGGTCGGCGCAAGTCCCCGTACTCCTTAGAAGCCTCGTCAGATTCTTCCAAACTTCAACATCGATTTTTAGAATTTGGTTTACAATATAGAGATCTGCGAGCAGGCACTTGTCGTAATTATCAAGTTATACGCCACTTCTATGCTGGCTGGACCTGGTATATTAACTTTTTCCTGGCTAAGCATTCAGATGAAAGCTCCACTAGTTGGTTCATAGTCACTTAGTCAGTTATCTATAGGAGGTAGTATTGAAGACCCATATGCGAGTGATATTCACCAAATCTAGACTGACTGCAGGGTTAAATATGAGTCTTCCGATCTTGCAGCTATGGCGTTGGATTGTGATGCGCTGACAACTAGAATCACAGCGACAGACAGGCCGGGGGCATTTACTCCAGTCTGTTTCGTGTCTGTCAGTAAGCCTCAAGGGGTAGATTATGTGCGAAAGTTCTAGTCTTGAGTTTCAGGAGACTGCCTGTCTGCCGCGTCTTTCATTACGAGGCGTCCGGTGAATGCCACCTCCAAGTGAAGAGCTCATTGCTGTTTGTTGGCTAGCAGCTTGCTAATAGGCCAAAAGTTCAAAAGTTCACCGCGTCCCGGAGCGTCGAAAAAAAAGGTGTAAACAGTGAACACACGAGCATTTCGACCGCCCCTTCCGTGAAACAAAGCCACTGGCGTTATTTTTAGTCAGCGACATGCCTGGTGTACCTTGAAGAATTATGATTTATAGGCTCTATCTGTGGCATTTCATAGGGTGAAATTATAACTGCCCTATTAGACACTCAGAATTCTCCATAAGAGGTCCGTGCACTACTTACAAATGGGACTTAATATGTCACCCCAACTACATGACCGAAGACTGCCGTCAAAACTGAGCTATGAATATTTATGCTAGTCAAAAATTTCGTTCTTCAGGAAGGGGATATTTTAGATTTCCGAAAAGTCGTTAATATGTGAAAGCTGATGCTGGTTGGATGGAAGTACGCGTCTTCTGTTATACACGGGTCTCACAGTGCTGCTCACAAACTATGCTACCCGCTACGCACAGATTTTGGTGTTTTGTGGGCAAAAAAGGCTTTATCATCATAAAAAGAAGGGAGATATTTATTTTAAAATGAAGCGTGAAAATAGGAAAGGAATCGAAATGACACACATATTGCTAAGGTTTCACCGTTGAACTCCAGCTGCTTTCGAGTACAAAAAGTCGATGAAATGAAATTGAACGAAAATTAAGAAAAGAACTTAAGTACTTATTCGCTATTCTTGATACGGATGGCTAAAATGACTTCCTCTCAATGGTCAAAGCCGTCATTACTTTTAGCATTAGTTAAGAGCGCAACTATTTAAGGTTGAGTGCATTTACGTGAATTTTAATAGAGGTCCGATGAAAGCTGGCACAGTGGACAAGATATAGCATATCAGTTGGATGAAAATGTCCACCAAGTGTCCAGCAGCATGGCAGGCGCATAAGACACAGTGCATGACCGATCTCATGAAATGTTGGCCGCAATTCTAAACTGCGCTTTCGGTTAGGAAGGATTACTTAGGCAGGGTTGTAATATTAATCTTCACGCGGCACAAATCCATAATGTTTCCAACTCGCCAAAATGTCAGCTTTTGAATTCATCTCTTTTCGACCTCTTACAGAAGGCGCACTCGGTAAAAGATGACTAGGTAAGAATCGGGAGATTGCACCCAAAAAATCCGCCTAACCAAAGCAGCCTGTCTTACGAGACAAGTGGTAATAGGGGTTTTATGGGTGGTGGCTGATGGGGATGTACGCTACTAGCCGACAGAAAGCCTTATTTGAACAGGTCAATGATTGAAGTTGGCCCACTCTCCGTTCCGTTATTACAAAATAGGTCGCCAAAAGCAGTATAGTGGTAACGGACGAGTGGAAGGCATATAATCGTCTTCTCTCAGAAGGTTATCTACATTTCTCCGTCAACCACTCAAAGAACTTCAAGGACCCTACCACCGGACGGCACACCAATGCCATTGAGGCATACTGGAGTAGACTGAAAAGGAAATTCCACGAGGGAGGCTTATTATGTGATCGAGCTGTGTGGGCCCACAGAGACGAAGTAGAGTATCGTCTTTGGTTTGGCCTCAATACCATGTCTTTGACAGATGCCTGGGAACTGTTCCTGTCCCATGTTGTGCAGACGTATCCCATTTAAAAGTGATTTTGTTTTGTAATAAACTGCCATAATGCGAATGTATGCCGTATATTCAGGTGTACGTGTGTAACGATGGGGAAGGTTGGGTAATAGCGACCATCGTCCATGTAACCTCCTGCGATGTTCGTTCGGCCAGCCCATGTTAGGCCGTCGCGGAAAGTCCAAGTAGTGCGTGAAAGTACGCCTGCAACCGCTGATATAGCCTGAAGGCGTTTGAGTCCACTGTTAAAGGTATTATTTCTAGGTAACGGATTTTTTGGGTGCCATCTCCCGTTTGTTACCAGATGACTACTTAAGTAGCATGCCTTTTTTACATTGATTTTTGATGGTCTTATAAATTCAAATATATTTTTTAGAAAACACGTATAAAACACGCTTTTTTACCTGTTTGGTAGAGAACCACGTTTTCTTCAAATTTTATATCTGAAAAAGGGTATGTTTAGGTTTTAAAAAGTTTTCAATTATGAGATTGATTAAAACCATGCAATATCCATTCGTACAGCATCGTACCTATCCGTTTAACAATGTTTCTCATAAAATTTACAACGTAGTCCGCATCTATTGCAAAATTTTATTAACACCATATGGCATCTTTTTAAAGACGTAGAGGAATAAACGATTTTCCTTACGCGGAGGAAAGCATGCACCCTGTAGACTGAAGTCGCTAAACGCTAACGCAACGGCTGATCAGGCTCAAACTTATTCGGGAATTGGGAAACTTTTTCAAGGCCTAATATACCCTTTCTTCGGACATAAAATGTGAAGAAAACGTTGTTCTCTGCCAAAAGAGTAAAAGGAAGCCTGTTTTTATATGTGTTTTTTACAAAAATATATTTGAATTTATAAGACCATCAAAAATCAATGCGAAAAATGCGTGCTACTTAAGTAGCCATTTTCCTGTCGAGTGCGCCTTCTGTACGAGGTCGAAAAGGGGTGCATTCAAAAGCCGACATCCTGAAAAGTTCGAAATATTATGGGAGTATGCCACGTGAAGATTACTATTACGACACTACTTAAGTAATCCCTCCTAATCGAAAGCGCATTTTAGAATTTCGGCCAAAATTCCATAAGATCGGTCACGCACTGTAAGTTTATAGTGGTAGTGGACTTGCACGGTATCTGCCGCACTCTCTCCTCACTCAGTCACTTCCGCCCAGTAGGGCGACTGAGTCAGGATGACAAAGGTGAGATAGGACGAGGTAGTTGACAGAAATCAACAGTCTGTCTATGTGTGCCACAGGCGACCCGACCTCTTTCTCAACACCAGGTTTTCCCAGAAGGGAAGACAGGGATAAGATACACACACGGAAGAGGCTGAAACCAAGGATAAGATTCGATTTTCGGGAGCACAGTGATAGACCTAGTTTCCTTGCCCAGAAGAGTAAACAGCCCTTATTGAACTACTCATAGATGCAAGGCCAAAACGCTCTAGTTTTAATAGTACAACGGGTCTCCGGCCACAAACGACCAAGGGCTCCCTCTCTAACGCTGTCGAATTTAACAGTCTATTTGTGACTTGCCATCTTTACTACCTTCTCGTTGTGCCACTGCCTGCTTGTAAATAGACTCTGGTCTGGCCACTCAAACTTCGTGCACCAAAAACTTTTACCTAATCTGCCAAACGGCTGCGTCACAAAGGTTTGTTCACACGTCCATGAGATCTGGATCTCGCTCATGGCCTTTTTAAGGCACGAGTTGTGGAGACAGAGCCACACCCCCCCCCTGAATCCACGTGATGCCTGAAGTACAGCCAAAGGCCGAGTACAGCAGTTTGAATGCATTCGGCATCGTTAACCAACAACCAGGTCAGCTGCAAACCACAGACTAAATAAATAATCTGATTAGGGTCGAACGTATTCAGTGCGTCCTGAGGTGACGAAAACCATTTATTGTGGTCATAGAGTGTACGGCCAAAAACTTTTGCTATTAAATCGACCGATCTGATCAACGTACCAGCCCACTAAGAAGCAGGTGATATGACCGAGGGAGGAGCCGAGTCAAGGGTTTTAACTGGCGTAGTAGAAGTTTTCAAAAAGGATAGTTTTTTAGTCCATCTAGATAGGGACATCTGTGTGCATTTTGTTAGAAATGGTCAACCCATGTATTGGCTGTCGTCTATCTATGTTGTCTGTGTTTTGGTCATTTTCCTTCAGGCATTCTGATGCTCTCCTGGTTTTCACATTTTGCACAGATTGCGAAACCAAAGAAATTATATAGACTGAAAGGGCGCCATTTAATCAAAAAACAGAATGTAAAAAGCGGAAATTTTAATTCCATGAACAATTTTAAACAGTGGCTGACATACAGTAGGTGGGCTAACTCATGAAATGCCAACCGAAATTCCGAAATGCGTTTTCGTTCCGAAAAGATTAATTAGGTAAGGTTGTAAAACTGGTCAGCCTGCAGTATAATTCCGTAGTAATTCAGTTACCACAGGATGCTGGCTTTCGAACGAACTTCCTTTAGGTTGCATGCAAAAAAGATGCTCTGTAAAAAGTGACTACTTAAGTAGCATGCATTTCACATCGATTTTCCACGCCCTTAAAAATTCAATTATATTTGATGAGAAATGTGCATAAAAATATTCATTCTTTCGCCCATTCGGTAGAAAATTACGTATAGTTTCAATTTTATACTCGAAGGAGGGGTATTATTTGGATTTCAAAAACTTTTCCAATTCCCGAATAATGTTGAACCCGCTCTGCTGTCGCACTTACATTTGGCGTTTCCAAACAACAAGCCATGTGCGTACGGAAAACCGCCCATTTCTCAACAGTATTGAGAGGAGACCATATGGGGTTCATAAAATTTAGCGTTGGATGTGATATATATTGTTAAATTTAAAAGCCACATTGGTAAATGAGGAGACATGACGATTTATGAGCGGCCATTTCACGGTATTTTAAAGTCCCGCAATTAGAAACTTTTTCAAAGCCGAATTATGTCCCTCCTTCGAGCGTAAAATTGAAAGAAGACGTAATTTTCTACCGAATGAGCAAAATATTGAATATTTTTATGCATGTTTTCCATGAAATATAGTTGGACTGTTAGGGGCATCGAAAATTAATGAGAAAAAATAATGCTACATCAGTAGTCATTTTTTACAGAGTGCAGTTTTTATATGCAGCCGGAGGGAAGTTCGTTCGAAAGCCAGCATCTATAGGGTAACTGAATCATTATAGAATTATACTGCAGGCTGATTAGTTTTACAACCCTCCTTAATTAAGCTTTTCGAAACGAAAACGCATTTCGGAATTTCGGTTGACATTTCATGAGTTAGACCACCTACTGTATCTGTCTCCGATGGTGGGTTCGAGCGAGAATCCGAAACGTCGGGCCAATAAACTTCCTGTTCCAGCGAACGCGTCCTCACCTTCTTCTTTATAATTAGTGACCTCGTCTGCGCTTGCCGTATATATAATCTGGCCCCCCTCCAATCACAAGGGCCAGGATTTCACACAAAGGGGTTGGGCGGCGAGCATCTCATACGCGTGACAGTGCCAGAAGTCACATTGAGAAGGAGCCATTACAGCCTGACTCTTAGTCTACCAGTCCGCCACTCCACACAAACACACAATAGTTTGACTGCGAGTTCCATCGTCATTTGGCGACTTTCCGAGTCACGACGCTTGCGCATTGCGGTAGTCTCAGGCTCGGATCTAACATGCGGGGAGTTCCAAGAAAACGAGAAGTCCTCTGGAGGTGAGTTTTACATGATGAACAGTTATTTTCCTGAGTTGTGCATTTTTCATACTTTTTAAACTATGGATTTAGATTTTAAGAGCATGCCCTCAATAAAGGATTCGGAAACCGCACAAAAGTGCGTGAAACTTAAAAAGCATCATGTCACGGAATCTGCACAACGCGTCATAGGTTCGTCTCGTGAATCGAAAAACTGAAACATTTGAAAAACGCGCCCATAATCGTCCGATGGTAGAGGGACGTGTCTGAAGCTGGTAAATCAGCGATTCGACTCTGACCGGCCCTGTGGGTTCCCTTGTTTGCAGTGATCTACTGTGATAAAATAATCCGTGTTCACAGCAGTTTATTCCAAAGAGGAGCTTATGTAGAATGCGCAAAAAAGTTTCCTTTTGTGGTAAAAAAGTTCAGATTAGCAGCAAATAAGGTTGTCGTGGGAGGTATGAAAAAAGGGACTACACCAAACAAATCTGGAAGAGGGTAGAATCTGAAATAGCTTCAGAAAAGTGGAGGTCTGGGTAACAATACAGCGGTGGGTAAGGCCTAGCTTTTAATGGACTTACTGAAAAAACTCATCTTTGTCCATTTTCAGACCATGCAGTGTGTCTGAGTGCTCTCTTTCGCGTCGCGAATCACTCATATTGCGCAGGGCGGCCATGAAGCTGCTAAGGCGTGGGTCGGTGAATGCAATGCCGGCCTTGGAGATCATCTGCTGGCACAGCCAGAAAGCGGAACGAAAAAAGCAAGTTTCAGCGCTTCAGTCCTCAAAATATGAGCCAATGTACACGTACGGCCAGTTGAGGATGAATGCACGAGCTCATTATAGGAACTTTAGGTTACCACGCCAAGCTATCGAGGGATGGAGGGGAAGTTATCTATTAGTTTTTGTGGCTGGTAGCTAAGGCCATAATAGTTTTGCTCAAAGTGGGGAACGATGAGGGTTCTGAAGATGAAGATGCGATCACTGGGACAAGAAGTTTATTGGCCTGACGTTTCGGGTTCTCACTCGAGCCCATCATCAGAGACATTCGCAGATAGAGGTAAAGGTGGCACCAGGAATGCAGTATTTATAGCACGTGGCNGAGCGCCCTCTTTGTGCACTTTTGGGAGACCGTAGAATCGGGCTAGGGCCGTTTCTTGTGCTCTCGCCATGCGTCGGTCGATTGGCGATATTGCACCTGAGTTCTCCATTGCCAACAGCGTCGCGTTAATCTCGCGTGTCAGCGTTTTCATGGGGTTGGATTCGCATGGCACATAGGACTGACGATCATCCAACAAGCTTTTGGCTTTTTGATTGTAGTCTGTCCTGTCCAATACGACCGTTGAACGCCCCTTGTCCGCAGGCACGATAACGAGGTCGTTGTCGGCCCTGAGTTCTTTAAGTGCATCACGCTCGACCTTGGAAAGCACATCGCGCGGCCTATGAGCCATGAGGAGGGAGGACACTTGGTGTCGAATGAGGTTCTTCGTTTCGTCTGTCGCTCCCGTCTGGCTGAGGATTGATTCCACTGCTGCGATCATGTTGGCAGGTTTGGCATCGGCTGTGTTGAATGAGGCCTCATGCCGTAAAACCTGCATTTTTTCCTCCGTCAGCTCCTTTGACGACAAGTTGTGCACCAATTTGTCGTTCTTGGATGACATTGGAGCAGGCAGCTTACGAAATTTGCTCTCTAGGGCTGCTTCTCGCGTTGCTTTATGTTCGCGGGTTCGTTCGGCCAGCCTCTGCTGAAGCAGTTTTATGCCGTCCTCGCCCATGAACTCGCAGCACCTTGCCTTCCCTTGGTCAATCCTCTGACGGTATTTGCGAATCCGTGAGTGACAGTCTTGAAGGAGCACTCGGATCATTCGTCGGCCGTGCTGAAGTACTGCGCGTCTCGCCAGCTCTGTGTTGACCGGAGGTTTGTATGAAACGCACTTCGGCAGCACATTGTTGTCGAGACACCTGTGCAGAAATCGAATCTGCGCATATGTTGACGACTCTCGAAGGGCAAAGGTTTCCCACCGTCGAGCCGATCGGAGCGCTTCGCGCCCAAAAAGATTGCTGATAGAAGCGAACAGGCGAGTCCCAGGTAGCAGTTCAGAAGATGAAGATGCGATCACTGGGACAAGAAGTTTATTGGCCTGACGTTTCGGGTTCTCACTCGAGCCCATCATCAGAGACATTCGCAGATAGAGGTAAAGGTGGCACCAGGAATGCAGTATTTATAGCACGTGGCTGCCGTGGGACCGTATGCCGAAATCCTCGCAAGGGGTGACAACCGCGTGAGCCGCGAGCTGCTCGAGTCATGGTTCTCAGGCCCGCAATCCATCAACAAACACAATGACCTCCCGGTGGTCTATTCCGTTTTGCGATTTTCCCTGGGCAGGAGAATCAGTCACGTGGGGAGGGCGCGGGTGAGCAATTATCACGGTGACAGTGAGCCAGTTTGCCGAGCAATCGTCACACCAGCATCGAGCACGGATGACGAAATCGCGGCAATTAACAACTCGGACTCGGACCGCCAAGCCACCGCCGCATCAATTACGACCCCAGCGGCGATTGTGAGAACTGTTAATTGCAGTGCGCATACGGTCCCACGGCAGCCACGTGCTATAAATACTGCATTCCTGGTGCCACCTTTACCTCTATCTGCGAATGTCTCTGATGATGGGCTCGAGTGAGAACCCGAAACGTCAGGCCAATAAACTTCTTGTCCCAGTGATCGCATCTTCATCTTCTGAACTGCTACCTGGGACTCGCCTGTTCGCTTCTATCAGCGATGAGGGTTCTGGCGGGCAGGTTTCACCCATGTCACAAATGTTTCGGCTTTGCGGGCTTCAGACTTTACAGCCCTCCAAGTTGCTGCATGTTGGGTGTCTGTCGCAAATTTCTGCCCTAGGACACTGTTTCGCGAAATCGCTTCGGATGATGTAAAGGTGGTGAAACACGTAGAACTTAATGACACTGTAAATTTCCTGACCGCTTGTTTAATTGCAAACACTCCCCGTGTATAACTATGCAATGGTTATTCGGAATTGGATAAAAGAGTAGTAAATGTATGACCTCGTGGTTTTTCGCATATTTTACCCCGTTCGCCTCATTATGTCTTATTTCTACAGGATTTGGCAAATGTATAGTAAGGTAGAGAGAAATCATCACGGATGCGCAGTTAAGAAGATACACACAAAAGTTTCTTTTCGGTTAAATTCAAAACTTGGACTGAAAATTGTAAAACAGAAACAGGGTAAGGGGTGTGTAAGTGAACATGGATCACAGTGTTCAGTTAATCTAAGAGAGACTGTAAAATAATAGCCATTATAGGAGAAAATAGACACAACGGAAAGCCACAAGTGCAGTATTTAAAAGTTAAAAATACATCCCTCTTATTAGGCCTATATTAGGTAGTTTAGTAATCCCCTAATAAGAGAATATTATTGAAAGTAAAGTCATTATGAACCAACCAGGAGACTGAATACGGAAGTGTTGAAGATCATTCCGTTGTAAATGAGAGGAGTAATCGTGTAAAATTTATGATTTAGCTTTTGGCAGCCTTTCTCATAAATTTATCGAACTTTGTAAGCCCAAATTTTAATGTTGTAGAATGAAACGGTGTAGAACTGAAATGCTGACTGAGTTTCTGAAATATGTTTTCAATCCCTAACGATTAGTTTAATAGGGTCGTAATAATAATTGTAATGCCACATAACGTCAGAATATTTCAGTCACGCCAGGATGCCGGCTCTTAAATGAGTTTCTTATCAACCGCTTGCACAAACTACAATCCACAAAAATATCCACTTAAGGGACACAAATTTTACTGTCTATTTTTGAAACCTTTATAAATTAGAATATATTTTGAAAAAATGCAGAAAAATAGTTTTGCTCCTACGTATTTGGCGGCAAATTACGTCGTCTTCAAATTTTGTACTTGGAAAAGAGTGCCTTTTGGTTTTAAAAGAGTTTCCAAGTCTTCAAATAATTTTGAACCCGACCTGCACCTTGAATTCAAGATTTCCAAACTGCAGGCTGTATACTTTTCATGCAAGGAAAATCATACATTTCCATAAGCTATTATGAAGAGTAGATGTAGAACTCATGCTGTTGTGGACTACGTCGTTCACTTTATAAGCATCACTAGTTATCGTGCTAATGCGATGCTGTACAGCTAATACTCCATCTTTTAATGTATCTTTCTAGACTAGAATAAAAAAAACAAGGACAGGCATGAGGTAACCAAGGAAAACTCACCCCAAGGAGGGCAGAGGAGTCAACAAGGTTACTTTCATGATCTTTGAGCGATTCAAAGAAGGAATTTGCAACTTCACTACGTTGTAGATTCGGAAAAAATTCCAAAGGCGAGCTGCCGAGATAAAGAAAATTACTTCGAGTGCATATCAATTACTCACAAATTTACAAAACTTTGCCCAGCGTATACTCATTACCCAACGTCATTCAACCAAGCATAAGTACATGCCGAAAAATCCAAAAGTGTATTTTTTTTTATCGGTGCACACATGCATGACATACACAGGAGTTTTCACATTTAACACTAAATAATTATTCAGTCTGTCGTATTGTTTATACGTTTGGACGAGAGAACAATGCCTGAGAACGAAGGGAAATAATTTCCGGCTTGAATCTAACATACAGTCAGACTTTCCGGCGATTTTAATTATCAGCGAAAGTAGATGCTAAGGAGTTGTAATTTTTATAGGTAACTGACGTCAAGATGAGCACAGAAGCAGGACACCATCACGAAAATACGATAACAAGCATGCATTTGCAGTTGGTATACCAGCCCCAAGTACACTAACATACAGACTTTAGGTGCAAAAAGGGTTTATTAAGATACTGGCAATAAAAGTACTTCGACAATAAAGCCGAAAAGGAAGAAGCGGAAAACACACGCGTGACGTGCGCCTTTCGAAGCGACAACGGAACTAGTGAGTTCCGTAAGAACGATCGGTGAGCGCCCCCTACCATTGTACACTCCCGATCGAAACCGCCAGGGCAACGGGCTCGTGGCCTAGTGGTTAGAGGCGTGGACTTCTAACAAACAGGTCGCGAGTTCTAGCCTCGGGTGTTCCACACATCGGGGTTGGGTATGGCTGGCTGACGACGGCTAATAAGCCAGAAATGGTCGCTCCAGCCTCCCTTGTCTTTGTCAGTAATACCATCCTGCCTATATCATGCGCCGCTGGGCGGCCGCTGGTCTGGCTCGAGAGGGAGCCCGTAAGGCACAACGGAACGAGTGAGTTCCGCAAGAACGACCGGTGAGCGCTCCCTATCATCGAATTCAAGATGTTATTGCGAGGGAAAAGTGTGTGTACTATGCGAAGTACCGCCGACTGTGGTGATTACAATGTTATTACGAGTGCAAAACTAAATCTAAGTATCAAAAGAGAAAGAGGCGTTCACCGGGAGAGGTTTATTGGAGGTCCGACGTTTCGTGTAGTTTATTCGTCTATCCATCTTCAGAGACTGGAAAGTCCTGCGCACAGCTCCCCTTGTATGGCGCACTTTGTTCAATGCGTGACCCACCAATGCCGCCTGCGTGACTGCATCCAACCCGCATGTCACCGTGATCTGAATCGCCCCCGTCGGTCGCTGGGATGACTGACAGCCCCGATTGTCCCGCGTCGTGACTGTCCCCCATTAGGAAGGTTCGTAAAGTCAGATAGGGGGGAGGCAAATTGATGTGGCGGTTGACAGACCAGTCGGTGGACATCCAGGTTTCTTGCAGTTGTCATGCTGTATGATCACTGCCCCGGCCCACAATCTCAACGACGTCAAAGTTGAAGATGTGTCCCATTTGCGCGGCATAGGTTTCTACCTTCGACTTTGGGTCAAACCTTTGCGGCGCGGGACAATCGGGGCCGTCAGTCATCCCCGCGGCCGACGGGGGAGATTCAGATCACGGTGTCATGCGGGTTGGATGCAGCCACACAGGCGGCACTGGTGTGTCACGCATTGAACAAAGCGCATCATATAAGAGGAGCTGTGCGCAGGACTTTCCAGTCTCTGAAGATGGGTAGACGAATCAACTACGCGAAACGTCGGACTTCCTGGTGAACGTCTCTTCTTCTTTTGATATGCCACCTGGGAATCGAAGTTTCACTACTATTAAATCTAAGTAAGTTTATGGCTGCAACCAAGGCTTTTAGATGCAACTATTTGAGGGAGGAGTTTGCACCGGACACATTTAACATTGACTGCAATACTTGAACACATTTAATGGGAGAAAATTCCATGCATAGTGGTCAAAATACTGATGGGTGCACGCTTCATACATGCTGCTGCATTGAATGCCACCTCATAAGCATGCAAAAAGTACTGGGGAGAAAATATTGCTGCATACATCTTATCTATCGATATGGATGACAATCTGTTTCGCCAGAAGGAAGTAAGAAGACCGCTTCTCCCTGATGTCATAAGTCCTCTAAGAAAAACAGTTAAGGTTTAGTGCGTACAAGAACGGAGAGCATTTTTATCTAAAATATTGAATGAGGGCAATTAACAGATCGAACACTTAAAATTATTGAAAGTGATGCGTAGTAAAAGGAAATGTTACCCTCCTAGTCGCTCTTGCCACTTTGCTATTGTGCCTAATCGAGGCCGAGCCAAATGTGTGATTTGCGGACGTAACAAGAAATTTTTGAGATATGAACTGCAGTTTCTCCTCATGATATCGTCGCATGATTGTTTGAAAATCTACAGGGATAAAAGTGGTAGATTAATGACCAATTCGTTTACCGAAAGGCATGAATATCGCACAAATTAGTATACGACCATAAATCTTAGCCAATGAGCGATCACAGTCTATGATATTATATTTTTCCAAATTGTAGAATAAGAAGAGATATAGGTAAATAATAATTAAATGTCTCAGATCCGAGTCCCATTATCCGCACGCCTCGTAACAATGACCAGTGAAAAATTAATTTGTCCGTCTCGGTTGCACGGTTAAAAAGAATGAGCAAGTGTGAAAATGAATATTTTCAACATAATCGGATCGCACGTGGATCTGTAGGTCAAGTTATGCAAGACGTTTTATTAAAAACGGCCAGAAGTCAGGCATAGTTAGGATACGTCGGCGAATAATATAGAAATAAGCAGTTCAGTCAGCCATATTCCGTTAGAAACATTACATGGCGAACTGGCTAACAAAAAAATACACAAAACGAGGAAAGACCTAAATATTATGTCTGCAACTGAAGGAACGACGTGCGTAAAAGAGGCATTATTACACCACTCTTTCTAAAACCAGATGAAATTGTGAATTCGCATTGAACGTTATATCTCAGCGGAAGGTTAGTTGTATGCTCTGTATCTTGATTTTTCAACTTGTAGAGAACGCGAGAGTTCAAGACTCAAACCTGAACGGAGAATTTCTCTCTCTAAGATTGTGAAGCAACTGCATTTGATGTGCGATATGTTTGTCAACTTTGTTCACCCACATACACTATGCAAAAGAGCACATTATAAATAAGCGTAATCATTTAGAGACAAGAATTGGTATTTTGTCTTCTGGCCACGATGTTTGGAGAATTGTTGGCAAACACGCATAGTTTTCTAAAAACTTAGTTCCCTTCTTAACATTTTTAATCACGGAGATAACGAAAAGCATGCGGTATTCTATACAGGCGTCCGTCGTCTACGTTATTGCCGGTACCCTGACACTCGGAAACGAACATATTTTCTAGTTTCATTTTTATTAATATGTTCTGAATATTCAGGATAAAAAGTGTGAACTCAGACCAAACAAACAAGCATTGCGTTGTGTTAAAACACCAAAGCGAGCAGTGGAATTGTTAATAAAAATTATCACCTGTTAGAACGAAAGTTAAATAACGTAAAATTTGGAGATTATGATGACCAAATATGATAACTGAGAAAAGTCAAAAAATGATGAACGTCCAAAATAATGCAGTAAGATGTCCCACTTTGTTTTTAACGTGATTTTCTGGTTTACATAAATTACCGAAAATCAGCTAGAATAATATACAGAAGGATGCCTGACAGAGAGAAAACGGCTTCTGAGGATCCCAGATTGTGATTCGTAGGAAAACCGCAACACAGATAAAAATAGTTAAAAGTCCCACAAAGTGACGTTGTCATATTAAAAACTTCTTCTTCATATGTAAATTTGGAAGGAAATAATAGTTTCAATACTTGCGCATATATGCTATTCCGGCTTCGAAGACACCCAAATGAACGAAAATGTCTTTATTTACATAGTGCACACCCAATGTATTTAAGAAATGGTGGAAAATCCCTTTGGTCCACCAGTGTATTTTCCACTTTTCTGTATTGTTGTTTGAATATGCTGAAAAATACCCACAACTGGTTTAGGCTTGCGTGACGCGTGTTTTGTGTCATCCTGCTGTGATTTTCATTACCCCTTTGATCATGAACATATGCCTCAATTCCTCTTGGTAACGCGTCGGTCATATCTTGCCGGATGTGCATTTGTCTGAGCAACAAGTCCTGCTAGCCGACTTCAGCTCGGAACTTTTAAACTTTACCCAAAACATTTTCCCCCTACAACAACTGATGCTAAAGAGAGCTTCATTCTTTTAATGGGTCATTACAAATAATCACTTTGCCGTTTTTCCACATTTTTTTGCTGTCATGTTTTTGTAACAAACGCAACGTCCCTAAATTAGTATTAAGCCTTTTCCGTAATTATTTTTTCTTCATTTTTAAACTATTATTTAAACTACAAAAGCAATGACCCTTTTTTCTACGTTTATGCTCTTTTTTATTTACCGTGATCAATAACGAGCTCAAAATGGACTTTTAGACGGTTAACCCCCTTCCTTTAAATTGCTCCGTCCAAGCAAAGCAACCCGGCGTGGGGACTAGGCAGATAAAGGCCTTTTTCTGAACGAACCTTATCACCAGCAAGCGTTAGCGTCTCTTCCACTCGGTCTCGCGGTCGATCTCGAGGACCTTCTAAACTTGGTTCCAGCCGACAAACCTTACACTCAGTTGCAGGACACAGGGATTCGACATGTGGCTAAATCAGTCAATCGGATGGTCAGGAAACTTCTCACGCAAGTGTCACTTGGTGGCAAAACGCATTCGTAGATTATATAACATATGCGTCGCTTGCTGGCCGGTCATCAAATGAATGACGCCACTTTCAGAAAGATCTGGTTAGATAAGTTACCAGTTCCTATGCTGCATGCCTTGACCACTATTGAATAGAGCACTCCCTAAAAGAAAATAACCAAACACACAGACAGGACCAAAGGATGAGATCCGATCGGTGCGTCATCTCCCTAGTAGCAATAGATATCGAGTCGATATAGGGATAATATCTATTTATCGAGAAATGCAATAAGAAATCAACTTGTAGGCTATTAGTTTATTCCCTAACTAAAAATTAAGGTGTCCTTCCTCAGTTATCTAGGAGGTAATAACCTAGATGACTTCGTTAAGCGCATTTTCTTTGCGCTCTTTGAGGATGACATTGCCCTCCACGTTAACTTCAAGGGCAGAAAAATGAAAGACAGTCTGTGCAAATCTGAAATTTACAAAGTTATTCTGGGTAGGTTTGCAATTCAGTGACCACTATCTACATTTGTAGAGGTTTTTGCAGGGTGGAACAAAACCTCCGCTGCCACTTTATCCGACCTGGAGACCGCCTTCACAAAAAGACTGAAACGGTCCCTGGATAATTGTGTTCAACGGCAGAATAAAGAAATACGAAACAATAGCTGGACTGGTGATTATATTTCATCTTTTCATAATCTTCTTTCCCTCTAGAGAACAATCAGGCTTGTTCCACGAGTGGCGTTACGTCAGTGACAACAGATAACACTATGTATTAATCCTTTTTCACATTTTTTATCAAATAAACTATCTCCGTACTTACACGTCTTCAAAAAAGTTCCCTTGTAGGGGTTAAAAGCACTCTAAAGTGGACAACAGGAAGCAAAGTAGGCCGGGATTGGGGTGACTAAGGCGAACAGACGATAAGAAAATTATATATGGGTGTAAGAAGAAGAAGAAACCGCATCATGCGCATGGCCTGACGTGTCCCTATCGCCGATTTCGGAGTATCTCGAAAAATAGATATCTAGTCGATATCTAGAGCGCGGACAAAATCGATATCTAATAGATATAGGTATCTCGAAAAATAGATATCTAATAGATATCGTCTCGATATAGTTTGCTACTAGGGCTGCTTACTTAAGTTTGGGAATTCCCTTGAATTTATGCATTTCTGTGCATGATACCTCTTAAAAATTTCTATAAAGACTTTAGTTCGGTGACATAGTGTTTAAAAAATTAATTCTATAATGCATCTTTTAAGTAATTATTGATAGGAGCCGTCATGACAACTCACGCGGGCCGCGCAGAAAACCCTAATCATTTTTCGAAAGTTTAAAATAAGCCGTTAAATAAAATTGTCCCCGGTTGGTTGATTAAAACACCACCACTCCAAGCAATTCAATTTGTTAAAATACTCCGTTTCTAACGACAACTGACTCCCGTGTATATTGTCCCTTGTTGGAATTGTCAGGCTAAGTACTTAAAAGGTTTTCGTGGGCACCCTGTTGATGGATTACGATGCAGCAGTAACAGGAAACCTAACTTCTCGGGTCTCAATACGAATTCCAAATGTGGCGACCTGTTGTCTCGGAAATCTTCTCGTTCTCCATGATAAACTTTGTATATTTTGCGTTAAGGTCTATTTGTTTAGTTCAGAAAAAGAATCTTCTTTAGAAAATATTGGTTCGTATACAATCACTGGGTTCCAGTCCCCATCGAACCCGTGTGTTACATTTCCCGTTAAGAAGGATCAATTATATGCCAATGTCCTTCAGTATTCAAACTTTTGACTTCCCATTCATACTCGATCTCAATATTTTTATTATTATATTTTTTGCGCATATCCATCACTTTCTCCATCTCTTTTTCCTGGGTTTGCCTGCGGACGCATCTAGTTAATCCTATCGGCATATTCGAAACGGAGTAAATCAACCAGAACATCCTGAGTAGGCGAATAAACACCCTTCCTTACACCGCCGTCATTACAAAGGGAGCATAAAATAAGCAGAAGACGAAAATGCCAGAATGCATTAAAAAAGGCAAACTGGAATGCGGATAACTCGCAGATAACAAGACATAAGTGCAAATGGGGGAAGAAAAAGTAAAGACTCATTCCACACGATATTTAGTCACTAAAGTGATATTAATGCACACAACCTTGAAGACTATCGTTAACTAGTGCCGGAATATAGTCGGAAGTTTCATGAGAATGTGACTAAATCAGGAACTCACATGCATTTGGCTGCATATACCTACACATCAACTCCGAGCCTTTCTTAGATAGTGGGCAGGTGGATTAGGAAACTACGTCCAGAAATCAATTTCTTGCTATGTGAGAGCCATTCCTACCCTTTGAAATTGAACCCCATCCCATCCCAGCCTCCGTGAGGACTGCTTTTGGAAGAACATGTCTTTCTACCTTTTCCATTGTTTCAATTATCATTTTTTCATTCGGGGATATCGACAAGTGGACACTTTGGCCTTCAGGCTTTGGTGTGATGGGTACTCCTACGTACACGTTGCCTAACATACATCTAAACAAATATGGATTATTTTTTTCTTGACGTGGAGCGTTTGCAAAGTCATCGAGAACGGTTAAATGTCTGCATGATCAGCATTAAACGTAGAGTGCAACACTGGCGCATACAGTACGCATAAAATTTATGCGTGAAAGCTTTGGAAGCGTGTTCCATCATGTAACAACTTCTTGTTTTCCTTAGAAGAATAAAGCAAGTTTTTTTACAGAATGCACATGCAACCAGAGGTTATTACGTACTCTGATGGTGCAGAATTTTCGATTACTTTTTAATAATCCCGTCGACCAGAAGCGAGACAAAACTCAGTTACCTTCGGAGTGGTTTGAAACAAGGTGATCATTATGTCCCGAAGTAAGATCTGCTGTTCGGTGAAAGAAAGACCAAATAAATACATAAACTGCCGTATATAGAATCTACATGGCTACTTTTACGACAAGTAAAAACACGCTTTCGAGGGAATTTTATAACGAGAAAGCAAACATTGTACATTGCTCAGATCGTACTTATAAAATAGACAGTCCGAAATGAATAACATTTAGTAAACATAGAGGAAACTCGTTCATTTTTCGAAAATAGCAAGGGGAATGTGATCCGATCAGTATTGAAGGAGAAAAATTGTCGCTCACTGGAAGGCAAATATGTGGGCCGAAAAGGACCGTCTTGCAGGTAAGATTATGCAAGGGTTCGAATCGGTTATCGGTAAGATATAATTAATAAACCGGATGAGGCTATTAGCTATAGATACTTTCAAGTCGAAAGCTGAGGCAACTGTCAAGGTGGCGATGGAGGAGGAACCCGACGCGATCGGTCACAGTTCACTTAGAGCTCAACCGAGGAGGGGGCAAGTAAAGCTGCGGCGATCATCAAAATGCGGGAGATGCGACCATGACACTTCTCTGCTGACCGACCAGCCCACTATCCGGTGGTTAAAACCGTGGAATCAGGCGAGATCGTCAATAGGCCGCTCGGGGTCGAAATGAGGAGACGGCGTTAAAATGAGAGAAAATTGTCGCTGAAAAGGAGGAGAAATAGCAGTGCATTAACCAACTAGTCTGAAAGAGGCGTTGAAAAATCGGAATGACGATTTTTTCTTAAACAAGTTAAAAAGACTATCTGCCACGAAACCCCAAGAAGACTCTTTCAGATGCCGAGAAGTTGAGATTTCGTGGCGGAAAGGTCAACGATGACTTCCTACTTGCCGGCGAAACGTGCCTACGTAATTTTGATTTGAATACCGACAAATTAGGCGATGACATAGGTTCCAGCAAAAAATTATTCCAAAGAATGATATACTGAATGCAAAAAGAGAAGGAGCGTTTAGACGCAGAGAAAAGAGGCGGCGGAACCACCATGGAAGAATTTCGCATGCCATTCGCACTCCCCTCGGCTGTGCAACAAACCGAAACATGTAATGTTATCGGCGACTTTGATGCGCACCTAGGCAGAGTTCACGTTACCTAAGAAGGAGTACGAGGTTACCATGGATTTGTCAATTAAAATAAAAATTCTTTTCTTCTGATAAAAAATTATGTTATACACAAGGCTCCCTCGATAGCAGTCTTTTCTGTCTTTAAACGACGGAAGGCCGTATGAATGCATCCCCATTCGTATCACTGGCCACGATTGGGCAACACCCTTTTTAGGGGAGAAAATCAGCACGATGTGCTGCTGTAGCAGCCGATCCAATGCTAATTTCCGGCCCTTGTTTTTCACTTGACGTCCACGACAACACTGGTACCCAGCAGCCATGTCGCTAACGTACATCTACCCTCAGGCTGTTTTGAAGTGTCCCTTGTCCAGCTGTGATCAGTCACAACTGCGTCCACAAACTAACGCTATCTCATGCGCGTCGGCCGGCAACGCCTGCCACCCGTGGGTCCTCGTGATCACGCGCGCCCTTCCTTAGCACAAAGACTAACTAGTCACGCATTTAGTACTTAGATAATCACTTACTGCTATTGGACCAGATGTAAAAGACACGCGTAAGGAACCCACTGCCCATTACGCAGCATTGAACGGATGCTTTGGTGTGACACACAAGTAATTAGTCAACTCCCGACAAGTTACCCTATGCATAGAATAAATCGGTTCTAACATCCCGTTAAATTCTGACATCAGACGTGACGAGCTTAGCGTTGTTTTGGTAAAGCTAGAGTAATGTCTTTGACTGCCACATTACTGATAAGGACAATGGCAGTGCGGAGTGCTGGATGAACAGACACCTTGCCGTGACAGAGACCGGAACTCCGACCCGCTGGTGGTTGTCACGGGATAAGAAGTCGCCAAAGAAATTAAGTTTGGCGGTGTTGGGCCTGCGGGGACGCAGATGGGATTTCCGCAACTGCATAAGCATTCGTTTGGGAGAAATATCTGTCTTGAAGTAATGCACTAACGTGGTGACTCCATCTATGTTACCACTTTGGGAGTACTTGACCGAATTTCTAGTTACCCGCTCTTATTGTCATCAGACCCACCACTTGCTCACACATCCTTTGGTTAATCTAGTAGGCGTGACAAGCAATGCGTACGCACGTGGTTCAACTGCTTACTTGAGACATCTTTACGCCGATTGTTGCTCCCCTCTTCACTGATTGGCCGCAGACAGCCGAAGTTTAAGCATGCATTTAGGCCGTCGCTTACCTGATGAGGCGTATAGCTATATCTGCTATATCTTCTCACCTCAGTAAATTTTGTCCATCAAACCTTTGCCTCTAATTGTTGATTTGGGACTCGAGTTGTCGACCATCGTACTTCGACAGATATCTCGAACGTAAAAAGAATGGTTCGGCGACGACCGAGAAGCCTTCGGCGTCTTCTTTTTAAACAACAGACTACATGGGATGACGTGGAAACAGGGCTAACAACGACAAACCACATTCTTCCGATCCAGGACCATATGGCAGAGAATTTCAATATGTGAAATGATTGTCAGTTGCGAAAAGTAGAAGAAACTCAAATTTCAGAATAGCTGTTCATGCAGAAAAGACAGCAGTCATGTGGGATCCGCTACTGGCCGCATAATAGGATGAATGAATAATAAGGTTAAGTGGGATTCATCTCACACCTACGGATAAATTCACATAGCCTGTGAGTACCTTCACAAGAAATATAGAGCGTGAAGGCGGACTTGCAGGTATGATCCACAGAGCCATTCGGTCCTCTTTCGGGTGTAGCAAACTCGTCAACACGAAGCCATGGATGTACATGGCTGTCGTTCTGAGTAAGCTGGTCTACCAGGT